CAGCAGAGGGGGGGCAGTAAGGGATGTGCAGGCCAACAGAGGGGGGGGGCAGTTAGAACAACCAGCCATCAGGGTTGGGGCCATTTGGGGAAAACTGGCCTGCAGCATGAGTCAGTTAGGGGTGAACAGGCTGGTGGGGGGGAGGGCAGTTAGGAGCAACCAGGCTGGCAGGGAGGGGGCAGTTGGGGGTGATCAGGCTGGCACGCAGAGGCTGTGAGGGGTGATCAGGCTGGTGGGGCGGGGGGGAGTAAGGGGCAACCAGGCAGGCAGGCAGGTGAGTGATTAGGAGCCAATGGTCTAGAATTGTGAGAGGGATGTCTGACTGCTGGTTTAGTCGCACATCTCCCAAGGGGTCCCGGATTGGAGAGGGTGCAGGAATTTCATGCACCAGGCCTCTAGTCTTTACATAACAGTAGTCAACATGAGGATTCTAAACTGCAATGGTATTTATTGAAAAAAGTTTTTAGAATACTTACTGTCAGTTTGATAGGTAGGTCTATTTAATCTCAGAGGTTTCTATGCAATTAAGACTCTTATACACTTTTATTTAAACAGAGAAAAATATTTTTGGAATCTTTATATTATTTCAGTGGGTTTTTAGATTTCACTAACTAGCTAAACCAAATTTAGGAAAATGTTATTCAGTTTCTCAAGGAAGTATTTCTCTCATTCAAGTCTTTCTGCTTCTCTCAATAGGGTTGGGGAGTTATCATTATAGCCTTTTTATTGGGGCTTTAGGATAAGATGGGGTTTCATGGTTAAATAATACAAGAATATAAGGAACTGATATAATTTCACATATCAGTTTTCCATGAAAACCTACCTTGGCATAAATTAGCCATTCTACGTTGAGCTTCGTAAAAAGCAGAGCGTCATAAATATGTGCTTTTTGTGTAGCTGGAATGTACTTAATTTTAAATTGGAAACTCAAGAAAGCAACTAAGGACTCTTTATGCCCAGATAGGTGATAAAATCTTAGCAACAGATCAAATAAAAATATCTGAATAACTGCCTGCCAGATAGAATGTCACAATAGTTCCTTAGCATTTTACATAATGACCTCTTCCAAGTTTAAATACCTCTTAACTTTCTGTTCTATCTAATAACAACAACAAAAAATGCTGGCTTATTTCTTCTCCAAAAGTCTCAGATGACTTTATATGGGGCTAAGCTTCAAATTTACCTTTACTAACTAGTCTCTCACTGTCACCTTCAGTGAGTTCTCTCTTTCCCCCATGTTTCTCTTTGGGTAAGAGTTCTGAAAGAGCCATCTGTAGTTCTAATCTTGGGTCATCTTTCATTCTTTATTCCCTCATTAAACTTTGTTTTAAATGGGTCTCAAAATTCTGTAACAGATTTTTGGTCAAGTTGTTACCATGAAAAAGTACTGATTTTAAAAACTAATAACTTAAAACTCTCTCTCTCTCTCTCTTTCTCTCTCTCTCTCACACACACACACACACACACACACACACACACACAACACACGCACACACACACAACCACCACCAAATGGTCCACAAAACATTCTTTTTTCCTTCTGAAGGTTAAGCCTTCGGAAGGTTAAACCTAAATAGCTTTTTCCAAGAATGATGATCAAGCTTCTCCTTCAGCTCAGCAATTTTGCAAGCGATGTGAGCTGCGTGGCAATCCAGCACAGGTGAACAGCCAGCACTGATTTGGCCTGGGTGGTTCAGGATAATCACCTGACCTGTGTAGCCAGCTGCTTCCGCTGGTGGGTCCTTTTTGCTGTCACCAGCCACATTGCCACAGCTAACATCTTTGACAGACATGTTCTTGACATTGAACCTACCTTGTCCCCAGGTAGAGCTTCACTCAAAGCTTCATGGTGCATTTCAACAGACTTTACTTCAGTTGTAACATTGACTAGAGCAAAGGTGACCACCATGCGGGCTTTCAGAACACCAGTCTCCTCTGGGCCCACAGGGACAGCACCATTTTGTAGATGTCCTGGAGGGGCAGACACAGGGGCTTGTCAGTTGGACGAGTTGGTGGCAGGATGCAATCCAGAGCTTCAAGCAGTGCGGTTCCACTGGCATTGCATCTTCACCAGTGACTTTTCCTCCCTTGAACCAAGACATGTTAGTGCCTGGCTCCAGGATATTGTCGCCATCCCAACCAGAAACCTGCACAAATGCTACTGTAGACAATTTTCTTAATGGAGGTGCTGACTTTCAAGTAACTTCCTCATATCTCTTCTGGCTGCTGGACGACTCAGTGGAATACATTTTGTTAGACCAACAATCATTTGTTTCATACCCACCTAGTGTGTAAGCCAGAAGGGCATGCTCATGGATCTGCGCATTCCTGGAGATACCCGCTTTGAATTCACCAACACCAGCAGCAACAATCAGGACAGCACAGTCAGCCTGAGATGTGCCTGTAATCCTGTTTTTGGTGAAGTCTCTGTGTCCTGGGGCATCAAGGGTGGTCACATAATACTTGCTGGTCTTGAATTTCCACAGGGAGACATCAATGACCATACCATGCTTATGATCAGCTTTTAGTTTATCTGAGACCCAGGCATACTTTTAGGAGCCCTTCCTTATCTCAGCAGCCTCCTTCTCAAAATTTTCATTGGTTCTTTTGTCAATCACACCACATTTGTCAATTGGCCAGTAGTGGTAGATTTGCTGGAATCTACATGTTGACAATAATGTTGATATAAGTCTTTTCCTTTCCCATTTTGGCTTTGCTTTAGTAGTGGCTGTTACAACACCTGTGTATTGGTGCCAAAATGTTGTGAAAAGCTTGGATCATCTTGCTACGTAGGCATTTGGCCAACAGGAACTGGGTATTGCTCTCCTCAGAAACCATTCAGACAATGACAACATTATTATGATCAAGAAAATATGAGATCTCAAACAGGGGAAACTTGTAATTTTATTTCTCTCCTCATCTTCAGAGTATTTTTAAAACTTATAACTCCATTTATAAACACCTAAGATCTTCTTTTGATTTTCTATGGGAGAAAGCTGCCCTCCAGTTCTTGCTCTGATGCCAGATAATTTAGTTCCTCCATGTATGTCCCTGGATCTTTTCAAGCTGCTTCCCCAGCACTGGAACTCAGAGGGAGTGAGTCTGAGTAAGTAGGTGTATGGGGCCCTTTAAAAGGAATTGCCTGGGTCTCCAGCTGCCTCCATGTTACTTAGCCACAATCTCCACTGGTTTTTATGGCCCAAAGTTATGGGGGCTTCTCTTCCTGGCACTGGAGCCCTGGCCTGAGGCATCTGGTGTGAGGTTGGGACCACTTGCTCCTCAAAGAAGAAACTCCATGGCAATACATCACTCCCAATTAAAAAAAATGCCACACATGTGTGTTGGACCAGCCCATTCCAGGCCTCCAGCCCACCTACCCATCTCAATGTGCCTTCCTCTTTAATTCTCTAGTTGTAGGGCTTGTCTTCAGCCAGATTTCAGGTGGTTCTGAATATGGTTATTCTGTACTTTGGTTTTAATTTTGATGTGGTTCTGAGAGGATGTGAGTATCGTGTTTATCTACACCACCATCTTGGCCCCTCCTCTGGACATATTTTTTTATTGCTTGTCATGCAGCAGCTAGACATGGCATTTCCTAGATCTCCATTTGTGTCTCAGTGATCCTAGATCCAAAGAAAGCTATGAAAGTCCCATACTTTGTTGTGTTTTTTAAATTTTTATTTAATTTAGACTTTTAATATTTGCAAGTGGGATAAAAAAGAGTTTGGCTCCTCAGAACTAACTGTATCTGCAAAGACCTCTGAGGAGGTAGCATTATATAAAGGGAAAGTGAATCCAGAAGAGCAGGGCACCTCACAACAGCTGATGCTCCATTCACAGACTGCCCCTGTTTTCTTTTTACTCTGGGAAACTCAAAGTAGCCTTGAATTAATGCTTAAGAGTGGCCATTTGAAAGTGTGGTTAAATAAAGCTTGGACTAGCAGGCATACCAAATGTGAGATTGCCCAGCTGCTAGGGCACATGGGAAATTTCCAGAAGACAAACACTTGTATTAAGAATTTCATCAAACAAGGTTTTTTCAGGTATGGTTTCAAAAATTATTATTTATGATTTATATCAAGCAATTACTCCTTGAAGTGCCTTTTTCTACCAATTGGTTTTAAAAATTGTAGTAGAAAATGATTGATTTTTAAAAGATGTCTGACGTAACATTTTAGAAGATTTTACTTAATATCCATAACCAACTTGAGAGGAGATATAAAATGAAAGAACTTTAATAGTTAATACTCAATAACAAGTATTTTACAAATTGAAAGATATTCAAGAGCAATACTAAAAATCAGAAGTCTTAATTTATCTCACTGACAGTTTTCACAGTTCAGTGCTTCATGGGGTTAAGTACCTTTATATAGGTCACCAAGACAACCTAGTCATCTATTTGCAACAGAATTAAAAAAATGGAAAACATAAGTAGAAAAATCATCTACTTTGATAGCTACAGAGAGAGACTCCAAAGATAGAAAGAAAGGAAATAACCTGGAAGAGAAGATAAAAATGAAAAAATTGGGGTGGGGAAAGGGGTCAGGTGATGACAATAAGAATATATGATGAAGAGTGAGCTAGGGGTGGAAGTGAGGAGGGGGAGAGAGGAGGGCAGTCCTGTGTTCTTCAGAACTATGAAGTGTTGAGCACTGCACACAACCCTACTGGGGCATGTTCTGGGCTCTGGGGAAGATAAAGGTCAGCATTATGATAGGAACCCTGTGAACACTATTAAAGTAAGTACTCCTCTCCCTCTCTATTTCATGTAACACCCGCCCCATGTCAGCAAACTAATTAGAAATTCATATTTTGTATTCTAAAACATGCACATCTTTCTTTTTGTAGGATGATTTTATTATACCAAATGGTACATTTAATTTTATTTGCCTCAGTTTCTGGTGGTAAGTAGAGATTTATCTTAAGTGGAAATAGCTTGTTTCCTGAATTTGATTAAAAAACAAGAGGGCATAAGCCCAGAGACAGAAATCACGCCACAGCCCCATACATGTCGGAAAATCTCACACCATCCACTCCAGGGAAGGGAGGAAATAAAATCATTTTATTTATTTTCCTCCTAAGGTTACAGGGGTTTTCAAAGCAGGAAGGAAAGTGAGTTGAAGGAGTTTATAGTCATGGGAAATTATGTCTATATGTATATTTCTAACTATATTCATTCCTATACCTATATTCATATGCAAATTCACATCACACATTTAAATTATATTTAAGAGGAATATTATAAAAATAACCAGATGTCTGGATTTGCCTCATTGATTAGTCAGTTTTCTATAAAGCAGTCAGTTTAATGCAAGACACACATACACACACATACATGCAATTTTGGACTGAAAAATATTATGCAAATATTTACACAATTAGACTTGATACAATTCAATAATTTACTGCTATTAATTTTTCACTTCACATAATGTCCACTACATTTGTTTACAAATTACTTAACCAATATTCAGAAGGATATATCAATACAAGTAATTTTGGCCCCTTTGTTTATTTGTTATTTAGGATGAAAACATAAGCACCTATTGTTTTTAAATGTTTTCCTTTATTTTTTTTATTATTATTTTGCTCTTGTTGTTGTTAATTCTCACCTGAGGGTATTTTTTCATTGATTTTTAGGAAGAGTGGAAGAGAGAGGGAAAGACAGAGAGAGAAACATCAATGTAAAAGAAACACATGGATTGGTTGCCTCCTGCACAAACCTCACCAGGGCCCAGACAGAAATTGAACCCAGGACCCTTTGGTCTGCAGGCTGACACCCTATCCGCTGAGCCAAACCAGCTAGGGCAAGCATTTATTTTTAAAGTAACATATATTACAGTTAATTTCTATCACTGTTGCTAGCATTTTATGCAGAATAAACATTTTTAGCATATGTGAAAAACAGCAGTCTAGGTAAAAATATTTCAAATAAAATAAATTCTATTACAGTTAATAATTTAATTTTTCTTTGTGACAAGTTTCTTCTCAGGTTATTATATTTCTTCATTGTACAATAATATTGTTATTTCATTGATAAACAATCAGTGACAACTAAATGGACATACTTTGAACAATGGACCCGACAATGCATTCTTTACATATGCATATGGAATACTCACAAAATGTGACCACATACAAGGCTCCAAGGCAAGTCTCAACAAATTTTAAAGAATTAAAATTATGCAGAATTTGTCATCCAGTTACAGTGGAATTGAGCTAAAAAATAAAAGACAACTGAAAAATCCCCAAATGTTTAAAAATTAAGTAATACCCTTTTAAATAAATATGGGTCAAAGAAGAAATTTCAATGGAAACTAGGAAATAGCTCTAGCCAGTTTGGTTCAGTGGATAGATCATCAGCCTATAGACCAAGGAGTCTCGGGTTCGATTCTGATCAAGGGCATGTACCTTGGTTGTAGGCTCCTCCCCTGCCCCAGGCCTGGTCAGGGCTCATGCAGGAGGCAATCAATCAATGTGTTTGTCTCACATCAATGTTTCCGTTTGTCTTTCCCTCTCTCTTCCACTTTCCCTGAAAATCAATGGAAAAATATCCTCGGGTGAGGGTTAAAAATAATAATAATAATAATAGTAATAATAATAATAATATGGTGTTTAGGCAGACCAGGAAATTGTCATAACTCTCAGGATGGACTGTCCAACCTCCCTTGCGTCCTCAATATTAATGGCACGCTTTCTTATTTCTCTTTACCTTTATTACTGTTAATCATTTTGTCCTTTGCTTTTCTATTGATTATTGATATTATTTAAACTGGTACTTTTCCCTAATAATTTTATTAGAAAAAAATTAAATTTTATAAGGTGATGAAAGAATACAGTGATGCCCTGTCACCACCAATACTTTTTGACATTGTGTCTTATTTATCTGTGTTGAACATGTTTAACAATGTGAAATAGTTTGAAAACATAATGCTTCACCCTCAACTATTTCAACATACATCATTCTACACAAAATACATAAAAAATTTTAAAAGATCCTTTTATATCATCTGAATTGTCCCCCAAAGGTAATGTATAGCTATTAATCAAGATTCACAAATGTATTGGTAGTTTTGTCTCAATAGTCAAATTTTAGAACATTCTACCCACCACTTTTGTTTCCATGTTAAACTTGAAAATTTTGTTGTTGTTGCTAATCTTCACCCGAGGGTATATTTTAAATTAATTTTTAGAGACAGTGGAAGGGAGGGGGAGAGACAGCGAGAGAGAGAGAAACATCAATATGAGACACATGGACTGGTTGCCTCCTAATGCGCCCCAACCAGTCTGGGGATCGAGCCTGCAACCATGGTATGTGCCCTGGACAAAAATCAAGCCCGAGACCCTTCTGTCTGCAGGCCGACACTCTGTCCACTGGGCCAAACCAGCGAGGGGGAACTTGAGAATTTAATAATAAAGCTTTCCTGCCAAATTAAGTGATCAACATTTTTGTGTGTTATTGCTGCATTCCCAGATAATTCCATAGCACCCGGAAGATACAAAATTCACTGTTCTGGACTCTACAATAAGAGTGGGCAATCTTTTTCTTGACAAAGCAGAGAATAAATATTTTAGGCTTTATAGGTCCAGAGACAAAGTCACCAATATTATATAAGTGTGTATATATAATCGTTTAAAATGTGGCCATTAAAAGATGGAAACCATGCTTCGCTCATGAGCTATACAAAAACAGGCAGCCGGCTGCGTTAACCTGCAGGCCATAGCTTGCCCACACCCTTTCCTGTTAGGAAGCAGTATTATTACATGTGATCTTTTAAATGTGGGGATGTTGGGCTGAAAACAACCAAACTCACAGTCTTGTTAAAAAAGTATTTCTTTTGGCATGAGATACAGTAGTTTACTTCCTTCTCTTTGACTTTCTGTATGCTGACATTACAGTGTGGTGATTGTGGGGTGTAGGGGATGGAAGTGGATGAGAGTGTAGAGGGGAATAAATGGTGATGGAAATAAAGGAAAACACCCTGAGATGCATTATTTTAAAATATAAATATCCACCCAGTAATGTTGTTATTTTTTAATAAAACAGGTTTACTTGCATCCTGAAAGACAGCGTTACAGAAACGCTGCCTAGGGTAGACAAGACAGTAGCCATTTCTGGACATTCTTTCAAGCAATGCCCACACCACATACGTGGTAAGATGCCTTACTAGAATGAATAAATACTAGCTTTGCCCTGGCCTGCTGGCTCAGTTGGTTGGAGTGTCATCCCTACACCAAAAGGTCGTGGGTTCAATTTCTGATCAGGTCTCTGTCACATCGATGTTTCTCTCTCTCTCCCTTCGTCCCTCTCTAAAGTAAAAAAAGACAAAAAAAATGCAGGTTTTTAAATATATATATACTAGTTATTGTGATGTATACGTATGGTCACATGATCTTATGGCTATAAAAGAAATCCCTGACATATGGAAATAAAGTCTCCTAATGAAGCTCTTTCTCTGTCGAGTCAAAGTTAGCATGGAGGCATGTCTGCCCCTTAGCCCCACCGCAGCTTACCAAAGTGTATCTCATAGGACCTATCTCATTACATCAGTACTCACCATTCATTGCCCCCTCCTTCGCAACTTAAAATGTTATAGGAAAGTCCTTATTAAACATATGAATTCAAACCAAAGGCAGCAAGTGTTGAGATGCCACTTGTCTTAATAGTGATGTAGATACTTGAATAGTTTAATTAGTCAATCAGCCAATCACTGGTGTTAAGGAAACAAGCGAGGCCGGGTCAGCAAATTGCAGAAAGAATTTACAAGTGTAATATTGTGTCCCTGTAAGAAGGACATGGGCATTCTTTTTCTGTTTCCACGTGAGAGTAGGAATGAAGTAGATTAAAATAAAAACAACGTCTGAGGAAAGTGGGTGAGCGAGTTGAAAGGGTAAGTCAGGGGGACGGTTGCTACAGGAAAAAGTCTCCAAGTGGCCCCAGAGTGTGAAAGATAAGCATATTTACTGCTTTTATTTCCAGCCTGTGACACAGAAGTTGATGAGGGCCTGGGCATGGAGGGCATGAACTATGATAGGTCTGTCACCAAGAATGCAGAGGAGTGCCAGGGCAGATGCACAGATGACGTCCACTGTCACTTTGTCACCTAGGCAACGGGGCAGTTTCCAAGCCCAGAGCACCGGTGAGTGAGCCCATGGACATTACATTATCTGACGGGGAGCAAAAGGGGGATTCCTTAAAATTAGTTTCATCAATTTGATGCCAACATTTCTTTTTAACCCATGAAACATTTGTATAATAAATATTTATAGTTTTCTTCATACAAAATCCCACCTTTTTAAACTGGCAATTTTGAAACAGTTAAAATTGGCCTGACTATTCTATTCCCAGCCTAAAGGATGCTATAGTCTGAACCCATATTTAAAACAAAACAAAACTACTTGTGGTTCTCCAAATAACAGTTTCCTACCGAAGACAAAATAACTAAAGCCCATGTGGAATGTGTTAACCCGCCTCATACTGGATTTTGAAATAGTCCAGGGATAAATCTATTATATAAGAACTAGAGGCCCAGAGCACAAACATTTGTGCACTGAGGGGGGTCCCTCAGCCCCGCTTGTGCCCTCTCACAGTCTGGGACCCCTAGGGGGATGTCCACCTGTGGGAGCGCACTGACCACCAGGGGGCAGCTCCTGCATTGAGCATCTGCCCCCTGGTGGTCAGTGTGTGTCATAGTGACCAGTCATTCCCAGTCATTCTGCTGTTAGGGTCAATTTGCATATTACCCTTTTATTATATAGGATAGAGGCCTGGTGCATGGGTGAGGGGCTGAGGGCCGTTTTCAGGCTGACAACACCCCCTTCAGGGTGGGGGTCACACTGGGGTGCCTGGCCAGCCTGGGTGAGGGGCTGATGGCTGTTTGCAGTCTGGCCACAGCCCCTTCAGGGTGGGGGTTCCCACTGGGGTGCCTGGCCAGCCTGGGTGAGGGGCTGATGGCTGTTTGCAGGCTGGTCAAGCCCCCCAGTGGGGACCCTCACCCCACGGGGGTTTGGCCAGCCTGGGTGAGAGGCTGAAGGCCGTTTTCAGGCTGGCCACAGTCCCTTCAGGGTGGGGGTCATGCTGGGGTGCTTGGTCAGCCTTGGTGAGGGGCTGAGGGCTGTTTTCAGGCTGCCCACACCCCTTTCAGGGTGGGGGTCCCTCTGGGGTGCCTGGCCAGACTGGGTGAGGGGCTTAGGGCTGTTTTCAGGCTGGGTACAGCCCCTTCAGCCGCAGGCTGGAAGCAGGTATCTGGATTTATTTATCTTTTATAATTGAAATTTTGTAGCCTTGGTACCGCTCGAAGCCTGGGTTGCCCCTGGCAACCCAAGGTCCCAGCCCCTCCTTGAGCAGAGGCCACAGCGGCTGGAAGCAGGTATCTGGGATTTATTTATCTTCTATAATTGAAACTTTGTAGCCTTCAGCGGAGCTCAGGGCCGGCAGGGAAGATGGGAAGCTTCACTTCCTCCATTGCCGGGGGCAACTCCAGCTCCATGGCCACCGCCATCTTAGTTGGGTAATTGGCATCTTCACTCCTGATTGGTTGGTGGGCGTCACTTGTGGGCGTGGCTTGTGGTTGTAGCAGAGGTATGGTCAATTTGCATGTTTCTCTTTTATTAGATTTGATGTCTAATGATTAATCCGTATTCTCTTTTTTTAAAAAAGGTAGGAAAATATTATAACTTTTATATTCAGAAATAAGTTGAGATGTTTGAGATTTGTATAATCAACTATAGCTATATGAAATCCAATAGAAACGGGGAAATAAGTTCAAATGACTAGCATTTGGATTTTAACTTTCTGCTCTCTCCATTCACAAAAAGCACAATAGTGGAAAGCAAAGTATCAAAGATTTATTTCAAAACAATGATAAAACAAAACAACCCCACCCAAATTAATTATTAAGGTTTCATGTTTAATATTTAAGTACTAGAGGCCCAGTGCACAAAAATTTGTGCACTCAAGGGGTCCCTCAGCCTGGCCTATGCCCTCTTGCAGTCTGGGACCCCTCTGAAGATGTCCACCTGCTGGCTTAGGCCGGCTCCCTGGGGGATCGGGCCCAAGCTGGCAGTCAGACATCCCTCTTGCTAGTGGGGAGTAGGCCTAAGCTGCAGTCGGACATCCTTAGTGCTGCTGAGGAGGCAGGAGAGGCTCCCACCACCACCACTGTACTGGCAGCCGTCAGCCTGGCTTGTGGCTGAGCAGAGCTCCCCCTGTGGGAGCACACTGACCACCAGCGGGCAGCTCCTTCATTGAGCGTCTGCCCCCTGGTGGTCAGTGTGTGTCATAGGGATCAGCCATTCCCAGTCATTCTGCTGTTAGAATCAGTTTGCATATTACCCTTTTATTATATAGGAGGATAGAGGCCTGGTGCATGGGTGGTTCCTACTGATTTGCCCTGAAGGGTGTCCTGGATCAGGGTGGGGTTCCCGCTGGGGTGCCTGGACAGCCTGGGTGAGGGGCTGATGGGTGTTTGCAGGCTGGTCACACCCCGTTCAGGGTGAGGGTCCCCATTGGGGTGCCTGGACAGCCTGGGTGAGGGGCTGATGGCTGTTTGCAGGCTGGTCAAGCCCCCCCAGTGAGGACCCTCACCCCACGGAGGTTTGGCTAGTCTGGGTGAGGGGCTAATGGCTGTTTTCAGGCTGGCCACACCCCCTTTAGTGTGGGGAGTCCCCACTGGGGTGCCTGGCCAGTCTGGGTGAGGGGCTGAGGGCCGTTTTCAGGCTGGCCAAGCCCCCCAGCGATGGAAGCTCCCAGCCTTTCCTTTTTTTCTTTTTTTTTTTATTCTGGGATTTACTTACCTTCTATAATTGAAACTTTGTTGCTTTGAGTGGAGCTCAGAGCTGGCTAGGGCGGGTGGGAGGGAAGCTTCCTGCTCACTCCAGCTCCGTGGCCACGGCCGGCCGAAAGCAGGTATCTGGGGTTTATTTACCTTTTATAATTGAAACTTTGTTGCTTTGAGTGGAGCTCAGAGCCTGCCGTGGCAGCTGGGAAGCTTGGCTTCCTCCATCATTGGGGCAACCAAGCCTCCTGCTCGCTCCAGCTCCGTGGCTGCTGGCTGCCATCTTGGTTGGGTTAATTTGCATATAGTCGCTCTGATTGGCTGGTGGGCATGGCTTAAGGCATAGTGAAGGTATGGTCAATTTGCATGTTTGTCTTTTATTAGTGTAGATTTTTGTCTTTAGTTAACCTCAAACTACATCTTCTTATATACTTTACATCCAAGACTTAACACAGTGTGAATAAGCCAGGAAATTGGGAGTTGCTAGGCGTTACAAAAAAGAGACGTCATGGCAGAGTTGGAGGGACCTCAGCCAAGGTGAGTGGTGGGAAGATAGCAGGTTGTCTTTCTCGTCCGAGTGGGGCAGGAAAGGCCTGTTGGGATCGGAGTCATGGGCGGAGGACCCTGTGTCGGTGGCGGCTCCCGAGCAGAGCGCGCCTCTTGGGTCCCGAGCACTGCAGAGAGCGCAGTGCGAAGGCAGCACTGCAGACGGCGCTCTGCGGGTCCGGGCCTCCACAGCCCTCGCCCAGTCAGAGAGGCGAAGTCCGAGAGTGCCTGCCGACATCCCAAAGGTGCACTCCCGGGAGACGGGAATAGTTATCCAGGGGCAGGAAACACTTTCTCCCCCTTTGGATACGTACCTTCCTTTCCCTTTTTTGAAAATCTAGAGACGTGTGCCAGTTGCTCCTACATCCCCTGCACACTTGCTTTTCCGACGCTTAACGGGGTCTTGGTAGCCACTTGTATTATATTATTTTAATGTTATTTTGGCTGTTCATAACCAAAAGTAACATAAGGCCGGGTCCCTGATTGTATCAGCATCCTTTGGGGTGGGGTTCCTGTGTTTCGAGCATTCCTTAAATTGTAACTTACAAAAGATCTGACTTGTGCTATATTGGCTGCTGTAAGAAACAGTTGGATCAGCAAAAGGTTGGAGAATTTTGTCCAGGTAACTGTTAGTGTTTGTTTTTGTTATTAATCCTCATGCGAAGACATCTTTCCATTGGTTTTAGAGAGAGTGGGAGGGTAAGGGAAAGATGGGGAGAAACACATCGATTGATTGCCTCCTGTAGGAGCCCTGACCAGGGCCCAGGCCGGGGAGGGACCTGCAACCGAGGTACCTTCCTTGGTCAGAATTGAACCCGGACCCTTTGGTCCCAGGCCGAGGCTCTATCACTGAGCCAAACCGGCTGGGTGCGGTAACTGTTGCTGAGGTTTAGCACACTTTTATCCAGGACACGCAGTGATTCAGTTATCTTTTTTGTGAGTTTTAAATGTTCCTTTTGTAGTGTCTAACCTATTTTCTGTTGTGTGAGGTTAAGATAAAATGCAAGCCATAGGGGCTCTGGTGGAGTTGAGAATTTTTAAAACTCAGTTATGGCAATACTGTATTTTACAAAGGCTTTGCTGCTCAAATCCTATATAAAAAAAGGCTAATACGCAAATTGTCCCCTGGACCAGGGGGCGGGCCAGCGGGTCAACCTCCCTCGTCTTCTCCCCAGGGTTGGCCCACCCGATGGGCCCCATCAATTGTCCCCATCGGGGTGGGCCAGCTGAACCCCGCCCGTGCACAAATTCATGCACCGGGCCTCTAGTCTCATAATAATTCTATGAAGAATATCCCCATTCCGAAGATGACAGAAACTTAAGCTAGGTGACTTGCCCAAGGCCACAGAGGCAGAAGAACAGGAACACAAACTCAGATCTTCATGACAGAACTTTTTGTACTAAGTAGGAGTTACCTGAGAAACCTTAATCTTTGTACACCCTGAGCCTCATTATTTGTTTTCTTTGAGAACTTTTGTGTTGAGGTTATTTAAGTAAGTTTTGGAGAATGAGTTATGGAAATTATTTCACAAGGATGGATATTAATTAAATACTTTAAGAAATGAGAATTTGGAGCAGATGGCAGGTGCTGGGTGGATATGCGGCGCAGTCGGTTGGCTCTTCTTCGGCTCCTCCGCGATTGACGGAACTTCACTGAAGATGTCTAAGCAACAACCAACTCAGTTCATAAATCCAGAAACTCCTGGCTATGTTGGATTTGCAAATCTTCCTAACCAAATTCACCGAAAATCAGTGAAAAAAGGTATTGAGTTCACACTAATGGTG